AAGCATTAACATTATCGAATAATAATCCTTTGAATCATAATCAATAATAATTGACCTTTCACCAGTTTCTATCGTTTGTTTTATTTCTTTTTGTTCCCCACTATCTGGATCGGTCATTGTAATTGTTTTTGTTATAGTATCAGCTTTATCTTTAACTTCAATCTTTTTTCCATCAGGATATTTAAACCAAAATTCCAAAAATTCGATATTGTCAATCTGTTCATATTTTAATCTATCAATTACATTTTTAATACCATCTGAAAATCTTATGAAATGGTCATTATATGGGTTTGATTGAACTAAATTTGAATGAAGTGAAATATAACCTGTTGATGAATATGACATTGACTCATATTTTCTGAAAACACTAAAATTTATAACATGAATGAATTTCTTATTCGTTGAATTTATGAATTCTTGAGGTAATCTTATTCTAGTTTTATTTATCACTGGAAAATAACGCTTTACCATATTTTTAATCGTAATAAAAATGTCAATTATCAATATTATTTCGAATAATAGCTGTGAATTAAATTTAACAGTTAGCGGAATTTATAATGTTACTCTCGTTTCTGTGAGTGGTAAATTTAATCCCATTCTTTTAGACCCTTCAGATTATATATCATTTATTAAAGATGACCATGAAAAAACGTATGATATGTATATAAATAATGTGATAGCGAAATGGGATATTAACATGATTTTAAGTTATTTAAATGAATCATTTATCGTATGGTATGAAGAAAATTTTAAATCAAAACCCGATAAACTTTTTGAACTTGATGAAATAAATAACCTTATTAAATTTCCGCTGAAAATTAAATTTTGTACTCCTCATCTTCGTTCATTGTTGGGGATATTAAATTTTGAAAAAGATGTTGGGGATGTTTTGTATTCTGACACTGGTTCCAATTTCATTTTAATCAAATGTGATAAAGTTAATACCCCAATGAGATTTTCACATCAAACATTAGACCCTAACTCTTACCCATCAATACAAAACATTTTATCCATCAACTTAAACACATTTTCTTTATCATATCCGTTTCAATTATCCGGGAATTCATTTATTCTTCATTCAAAAGATTTATCAAATATTAAATTTAGAATAACTGACCTATTTGATTGTGATTTAGAATTCATGAATGAAATATTATGGCAATTTCAAATAGAAAAAATAGCTGATGAGATAACAGATTAAATATTTATTTTTAAATCATAATAAATGATTAAACAACAGCAACCACAACAACTTAAGGCACAAAGCACCCAGGTCCCTCAGACCATTACATACGCCATATATGCATATAATTCAAAGACGGCAGAACAAACGCAAAGGTTGAAATATGGAGATTTGGAGATAGTATTGAAAAATGAACATTTCGAATTCGTTTGCAAAGGTGGTGCGGTGATATCAAATATAAAAGAAATTTTATTTATGAATTCAAAAATTAAAGGTATAACGGATGATATAACATCAATTCCACCAGAAGAACAGAGATATTACGCATTAAATGCATTTCCTAAAGTTTTGAAGATTGGAAGATTTAATTTAAATGAGGAATTCATAGAAGGTTTCCTAAATGACATAATGAAGAGGGCGGATAAGGAATATGTGGATAGTGAGTTAATGAAGAAGGCAAATTTGGTTTATGTTGATGAAAAAGATAATGAAATTAAAGAAAGGGTTGAATGGTATCATGAATGGACATTGGAGACTTTTAAAGTTAAAGCTGATACAGGATGGGTTTCAGGATGTTTAGACCTTAAAGCAGATAAAACATATGTTAACGATGAGTTAGAGAAGAAAGCAGATAAAACATATGTTAACGAAATATACCAAAGTTTGATAGGAACAACAAAAAATATTGAAACTATTGTTGGGGATGTTTCTGTCTATGAAGAAAACAAATATTTTAGATGGGAGTTTGTACACTCCTTAAAAAATGGTATACGGTATAAACTCATTCCGAAAAATAACAATGAAATGTATGTAGGCTATATAAAGAATAATGGTACACAAGTTAAAGTTCCATTAGACAACAACTGCTACTTAAACTTATATGGAGACGAACAAAAGAAATATTTAAGAGTTTATGAAATGGCAGTATGACGTTGGCTGACCCAGCTCCAGCACCATATTATTATGACTATGGAGATGACGACAGAACACCACATGTAGATGAACAAAAGCTAACATTATATTTAGATTATTATAGATATAAAAGATATAATGCAATAGAAAAAACGAGAATAGTATATTATTATACAGATGACAGAAATAAATATTATAGTCAAGATTTTACCTACCCTGAAAACATAAGATTATATTATAAAAATATTCTGACACAAACCAGAAGAAACCTGAAATAGTTACACTATATCTTAAGTTCAAAAGAGACAATCCTATAATATCTCATATGTTTGATTTAATGAACCCAGTAGGTTCTATTTATACATCTATGGATGCAAGAGGTCCTCAAGTAATGTTTGGTGTTGGTGCATGGGAACAAATAGTTGACAGGTTTTTGTATTGTGCAAACTCTTCAAAGGAAACAGGAGGAAGTAAAACGATTTCAGGTGAAAATTTACCTGCACACAGTCACTACATAGATTTAAGTACATCTCAAGCAGGTTGGCATAAGCATAGATATTGGGATTGGTCAGGAATGACAAAAGGTAAAGGATATGATGTTAAAGACGACGTTAAGTTTGCTATAAATTGTTACTGGGATGACACTCAGGGAGAAGGAAACCATACACATTTCGTTTCAGGATATACACAAACAACGGGACAAAGTAAAGATTACATGCCACCATTTATGACTGTATTCGCATGGTATAGAGTTCAATGAATGTGCTTGACCCAAAGGTCTGGGCTTACCGAATGAACTAAATATATTTTATGTTTGTAATTAATTAGGTAATGAAGTAATGGATGAACTGCAGAAAAGAAGTTAAAAGCTTGGGGTCGTTTTGTACAAAAATATTGTGAGTAAATGATTTAGGTTATTCAATAATTAATTATTTTTGAAGAACTGAAGGGGTCACCAGGTCACCATGTGTCACCAGGTCATTTAACTTCTCTGAAAAAATGTGACAACATGACATTTTGACAACATCACAGGAGGAAGGCAGTTATGACTTATTTTTGAAGAACTGAAGGTGTCACCAGGTCACCAGGTCATTTAACTTCTCTGAAAAAATGTGACAACATGACATTTTGACAACATCATGGGTTATTCAATAATTAATTATTTTTGAAGAACTGAAGGGGTCACCAGGTCACCAGGTCACCAGGTCATTTAACTTCTCTGAAAAAATGTGACAACATGACATTTTGACAACATCACAGGAGGAAGGCAGTTATGACTTATTTTTGAAGAACTGAAGGTGTCACCAGGTCACCAGGTCATTTAACTTCTCTGAAAAAATGTGACAACATGACATTTTGACAACATTTACGAAAATTTGATGCAGCCCAAAAATAAAGTTAGTTTTAAAATTATTTTTATTTTTTTATTCCTATATAAATGACAGCAACAAACAACAACAGCAACTTTATCATTTCTGATGAACAAGTTATTGATTCATTAGCTGAGGAATTAGTTGTGGCAGAAACTAAAACCCTCAACGAAAGAATTGGTGAAAACAAGATTGATTTACATAACTACCTCAAACATGATGGAGGAAGAGGAAGGAAAACTGGTACAGCTTTATTAGTAAATAAAATTTCAAATTTAACGATTATAGATGTTGATATCAATAAATCGTACAATGATGAACTTAAAGAAACAGTTAGAAAAGACATTTTATCAAAACTTTCGGATAAAGATGTTATCGTTAAAACCGCTTCAGGAGGTCTTCACATTTATTGCAACACTAATTTCTTCTATGCAGTTTCGAACAGAATGATTAAATGTTATTCCTGCAATGATTATGATATTGACATAATGACTTCTATTGATGATTCAAAGCGTTCATTAGTAGTTATGGCTGATTCAAGAGTTCGCAAGAATGCATCAGAACCAATCAATACATACTCATTCATTCGTGGAAGTTATGATTCAACATTAACTAGAACAGTGAATGATATATTAAATGATTTGAATATTAAGGTAAGAGTTGAACAGAAGAACGAAGAAATAAAGAATATCATGAATGAAAACAAAGATGTAAACATTGACGATAAACTAGCTCAAAGCATAGTTGATGGCATCTGTGATTTTGAAGTACATAATGACGGTGGAAACATGAATTTAGAAAAAGAAGTTACATTATTCACACTGTTTCAAGCTATTAATTCGTTACCGGATCATTTGATTAATGAAGCATACGATAACGTTTATAATTTCTGCAATTTAACTGAAAATGCAAAAAGTAATTTTGAAAAAGCACGTAGTAGATATGCACATTTAATGACTTCTCCATTTGTTTTGGTGAAGATTCTAAAACTTTATCAAAAGGAATATTATGATGAATATGTTTTACCTTTATTACGTAAGCCAAAAATAACATTTGATATCAAACTTGATGACTCGTTTTTGATAACAGATATTAGACGCAAGGCTGAAAATCATCAGTATAAAAACAGTTCTGAAGTAATTGAGGATTTATCACGTGTAATTCGTTTTGTAGATTGTGGAAACAAATATTTCATTCAGAAAGATTACAACATACACGACAAAATGAATCAAATATCATTTGTTCTTCAGTCAAACATGAAAGAGTCACTCAAAATGATTAAATTATTTAAAGAAGAAGGTAAAACCATAACAGCATGGGATGTACTACTAAATCAATTGTCTTCATTAACCGTTAATGGTGTTTGCTTTAAATCTGATTCCCCAGATGTTTTCTCAACGTTTCAGGGTTATAAATACAACATTCTCGAAAAACCAGATTACTCAAAAATTGAGATGTTTATGAATTTCATTAAAGAAGCCATTTGTGATAATAACGATGAAGTGTATAAATACCTTCTCGGCTGGATTGCATCAATGATTCAACATCCTGGAATCAAGAATGAAACAGCAATTATTTTGAAAGGACTTCAGGGAACAGGTAAAAACAGATTCACAGACATTATTTCTGAACTTCTCGCTGGTTATTCATGTAAAAACATTACTGAAATAAGTGAGCTAACGGGTAATTTCAACTCAGTAGTTGAGAATAAAATGTTTCTTGTACTTAATGAACTCAAGAATGTAGGTGAAGACAGACTCGCAAACTTCAACGCTTTGAAATCAATTATTACGGATAATGAGATTAGAATTAATGAAAAGAATCAACCCAGAAGAACTGCTCAGAATGTTGCAAACTTCATTTTCGTAACTAACAACGTCTACCCTGTCAAAATTGAAGTTGGAGACAGAAGATACGTAGTTTTAAGGGTTAATGGTAAATTCAAGGGTCAATTTGATTACTTCAAGAATTTAATGGATTCATGCACTAAGGAATTTTATGATAATTTACTGACGTATTTTATGCAATATGACCTTTCATCATTTAATGTACGAATCATACCGATGACTGAAGCCAAACAAGATTTAATAGAATTATCAACAAATCCTTTAGATGTATGGATAAATACACATTATGATGAATTGTGTGCAGGTATGACGTGTGAAAATGCTCTATTCTGCAAACCATCAGACATGAAAGACAAAAACTTTCAAATGAGTATTAAGGATAAATGTGATAGGAAACAGATAAGAATAGATGGTAAACAAACATGGTGTTATGTTTTGAAAGAAGAAATGAAAGGATTATATAAACAGGTTGAACCAAACGATAATGAGGAATCATTTACTGACGATGAAATACCTGTAAATGAAGCTTTATAAAGTATGATTGGAATTTATTTTTGCATTCTCTTGTACCTGTTGTCAAAATGTCATGTTGTCACACTTTTTCAGAGAAGTTAAATGACATGGTGACACATGGTGACCTGGTGACACCCTCAGTTCTTCAAAAATAAGTCATTATTGAATAACCCGTGTTGTTGTCAAAATGTCATGAGTTAAATTACCTGGTGACCTGGTGACACCTTCAGTTCTTCAAAAATAAGTCATAACTACCTTCCTCCTGTGTTGTTGTCAAAATGTCATGTTGTCACATTTTTTCAGAGAAGTTAAATGACCTGGTGACACATGGTGACCTGGTGACCCCTTCAGTTCTTCAAAAATAATTAATTATTGAATAACCCATGATGTTGTCAAAATGTCATGTTGTCACATTTTTTCAGAGAAGTTAAATGACCTGGTGACCTGGTGACCTGGTGACCCCTTCAGTTCTTCAAAAATAAGTCATTATTGAATAACCCGTGTTGTTGTCAAAATGTCATGAGTTAAATTACCTGGTGACCTGGTGACACCTTCAGTTCTTCAAAAATAAGTCATAACTACCTTCCTCCTGTGTTGTTGTCAAAATGTCATGTTGTCACACTTTTTCAGAGAAGTTAAATGACCTGGTGACACATGGTGACCTGGTGACACCCTCAGTTCTTCAAAAATAAGTCATTATTGAATAACCCGTGTTGTTATCAAAATGTCATGAGTTAAATTACCTGGTGACCTGGTGACACCTTCAGTTCTTCAAAAATAAGTCATAACTACCTTCCTCCTGTGTTGTTGTCAAAATGTCATGTTGTCACACTTTTTCAGAGAAGTTAAATGACCTGGTGACACATGGTGACCTGGTGACACCCTCAGTTCTTCAAAAATAAGTCATTATTGAATAACCCGTGTTGTTATCAAAATGTCATGAGTTAAATTACCTGGTGACCTGGTGACACCTTCAGTTCTTCAAAAATAAGTCATAACTACCTTCCTCCTGTGTTGTTGTCAAAATGTCATGTTGTCACACTTTTTCAGAGAAGTTAAATGACCTGGTGACACATGGTGACCTGGTGACACCTTCAGTTCTTCAAAAATAAGTCATTATTGAATAACCTGAAACCATTAACGATAAAATATATTTTTGGTCGTTAATGACAAAAATAAATGGTTCATTTACTCACAATATTTTTTTACAAAACGACCCCAAACTTTTAACTTCTTTTCTGCAGCTTCTAATGCTATCTTAGCGAGTTCATATTCTCTAAATTCTCTCTTTAAATCTTCTTGTTCCCATTGGTCTAGTTCGTATGGAGAATCTCTATAAACATAACATATCTCACGTTCATGTTCTAATTGTTTTTCATGCATTTTTCTAACTTCTTGTTCGAACAAAGGTTTAGCATTTTTAACTGTATCTTCGAGTTCTTTTTCATCTAATTTCTCATGAACTTTCTTGTCTATGGAGTCCATAATTTTTCCAACTGCTATGCAATATTTTGGAGAAGCCCACATTGCTATATAGTTTATAAGTCTTGGGTCTACATACGTTCCTCTAACCTGTTTGATTTCATCAGGAATTCCTGCATGAATTTTGTATAAAAAGCAACCGTCTGAATTCCGGCGGTTGCTATATTCTTCACAAAATGCCTTATAATAGAGATGTGAAAACTTAAATTTTATAATCCCTGGGATGCACTTTCTTCGATTTTTTTTAAATTTTTGGGATAAATTTTGACATCTTTTTTTTTGCTGGCGACCCCCCGTTTAGGGCATCAAAAAAACATGTTGTTTCGTTTCAAGATCGGGATATGTTGTGAACCCGACTTCTTTCATTAATGAAGTGATTTCTTAAGTTGAATAAAAACAAATTTGATTGAAATTCATACAAAATTTCTTTTTATCATTATTATTTAAGATGCTTTTTTATGTTGAATTGTTAATTTTTTTATTTCCACCTGGGATATTTTGAATTGGGCTAGCCCAATCCCACCTCTCAATTTTCTCTCAATTGGGCAATGGGGATCCCATATAAAATGTATTGTAACAAAATTTTACATGCATAATATAGTACAATTAAACAACATTCTAAAAATATTAAATTCACATCATTTACTTGAAGATTTTATATTTTCAACAAAAATTAATACAATAATTACATTAAATTGAGGAGATTTATAATATTTATTATAAATTAAAATATTATTACTCATTAATTTGTTGAAATATTGCATTTTAGTGGTAAAAATTAAAATTTAAGTTTACATGGAGAAAAAAAAATTTTAAATTCCAAAAAAAAATTCAATTGGGATAACGATAGGGACAAAAATTTAGAATCCCCATATGCTTGGGATAAAATCACATGACTACTTATAATACTCTTCCCAGGACTTATTTTCCAACAACTTTCTAAAGTCTTTCCTAAACTGCTGACACATATTTGTTGCATTAATGTAACCATCCTTGTCTCTACGTAAGACTTCAATACCGTTATAAGTGCCTTTTGTGAATGTTTCGCCATTAGATTTGTTCGTGAATGTTTTTGCTTCGACTGACATTTCTGTTCTTACATACAAAATAAAAAGTTGAAAAAATAAAACTAACGTTATTTTTGGACTGCATCAAATTTTCGTAAATGTTGTCAAAATGTCATGTTGTCACATTTTTTCAGAGAAGTTAAATGACCTGGTGACACATGGTGACCTGGTGACACCTTCAGTTCTTCAAAAATAAGTCATTATTGAATAACCTGAAACCATTAACGATAAAATATATTTTTGGTCGTTAATGACAAATTTTTATTTTTATCATAAATGAATACCCCACAAGCTCAAAATTTACCACGAATCATAACAAGGGAGGAAATGATAAAAATGATGCAAGAACATGTTAAAAATAACAAACCACTAAAATTGAGAAAATGTGGTTATGCAGTAATGATGGAAAGAGAGATGTTGTCGAAGAGGAATAAAAATTAAATTTGGATAGAGTTTAAAAATTCATCTTTATTAAATTCATCTCTTCCAACCAATTTATTTATTCTATTAAATTCTTTTATTTTTGCTTCACTCAGTTTAATGATTGAACGGTAAGTTTCTAATTTTTCGATTATTTCTTTCCTCTCTTTATCGTTTTCAGTTCCATTAGTTTTATTGTTTTCAACCCCACCGCATTGCGACTTTTTTTGTAATAGCATATTTTTGATTTAATTCTGTTTAGTTTCTTTTTATATTCATCGTCTGGACTCTTGACTGCTTTGTTGTCACTCATTTCTTACGAAATAAAAAAAATTAAATATTATTTAAATATAATGGAGTAATAAAATAAATCGGAATTTCTATTAATTTATTGTCAACTTCAACTAATGCATTGCCGTTAATATATCTAACAAATTCAGCTATTGTGTCAAATCTTCGTCTTCTTTTTGTCATTGATTTATCAGTTTTTCCATAATCGAGATGAATTAAAACTTTATTTCCTTGTTTAAAATTCATGAGCCCCGAATTAATTTGTTCACGTTTAACATCATTCAACCTTTCCATTTGCTTTCTAATATATTCCCATTCTTTTGAAATATCATTTTTCATTTCCACCGGTTTCATGTTTATAGTTCTATGCCATGTATTATTGTAATAATATACTAACTGCTGTATGATGGAGTCATGATTTCCATCCCAGTATATCTGACCGTTAACCCCTAACGCATCTCTAAGAGTTCTCATTACCGCATCAACTATTTTATTATGAAACGTATATGGAGAGGATGAAAAGAAAAATTAATTTGTGGGAAATAATGAGTCATAGCTGCCTGAAATCCTTTATCACCATCACCCCTTATATTATCTACTCTTTCATGATCTAGTAAGTATTGAATAGCTCTTCTTGTTTCCTGTTCTGTTTTCCCTTTCACCGGAATGCAATATAAATATCTAGTGTTAATGTTAATGGCAAATAAATAAGTAACGTTTCCTTTTGAATATTCCAGATGATCGATTTCGTATGAATATGGATATGGAGCAAATGAAGGTCGACTAAATTTTTCCTTTAACGGTTGAATTTTTGGGTCAATTGGTTTATTTAATATCTTGAAATCCTTTTTAAAATCTTTTTGCTTCTTTAATGTTTGAAATGGATATAATAAAGTGAATGATGAAGGATTAACTGAAGGAGGAGGAGGTACTGTCGTTGAGGTTTTGGTGTTGCAAGTGGTTTAATTTTATCTGCTTTGATTTTGGATTTCATTCCTTCCTTCATTAATTCTGGATGTATTCTATTCATTTGTTTTAAATATGCTGTATATAAAGGTTTGATATACTTTCCCGCTTCGAGTTTATGTTGAAGGATGAATTCCAAAAGTTGATCTTCATTTAAAAGTCGGGCTGAATATGGTTTAACTAATGAATCATAAATTAAAGCTTGTGCATCATTTATGGTCTGAAGGACCTGGGTGTTTTGTTCCTTTAGTGTTTTTGTTTTAGACCTCGGCTTTGGTTTTTGTGGCTCAGGATTATATAATTTATATAATTCATCAATATCTTCTTCTGTTAATACTTTATTTTTGAAATCTTTCAACTGTTTAAGCTGTGATTTAGTTTTTCCCTTTGAATATTCATTATTTTTAATTTTGTCTTTAATTTCAGAAATTATTTTATTATGATATTTCAAAATTTCATTTTTATAATATGGATAATAATATTCCATATCATCACCCGTTATATTATTATTATATTTTTGGAGATATGATTTTAATTCATAATAACTAAGAAATTTTTGATTAAGTACTAAATCAGCAATTAAATTTTTTAAATCTGTGTTATCCATTTATATAAAAATAAAATCAATGTTTTAAGGGTGCCCACCTCTTTGAATCATAGTATCAAAACCATCATTAACGGTTCCTTTTGTCTCTTCTGTGGTATTTTATTAAATAAATGGCATACAACATCCATTTTCACAACATACAGCCTTAGTGTGTGCTCCTGTTAATGCAGTCTTACCAATTGTTAAGCGAGTCATTGACCCATTTTTAAGTTGTAAATTAATATTCTGACCATCAAATATCAATTTATCATTTATTATATCCAAATAATTTTTAGGTGTTAATTGTTTATTTTGTCGTAAACTAACACCTTTCATTTTTTGTGCAATCTTTTTAAAATCACTTCCATCAATTGAACCGTTGAATGATGTATAACACTTAGGACATAAAGCAACCATGTTATCACCTTGTTTCTCAATTGCTAAACCCAATAACTTCTTCTCATGTGCTTTTTCTTCAGCTTTATTCTTTAATTTAGGTTTAAATTTCTCATCAAAACAGAAGAAATCAAATGGTGCGAATTTGAAAATGTTTTTATCATAAAATTGTTTATCAGTAACAATTGCTTGAAATGCTTGAGTGTTAGGAAGATTTGGGTCGCCAGCGATTGCCCAATAAGATGAATCAGTATCACCTTCAATGAAATGAAAACGATTAACATTCATGCATTTATACATAAAATCATAAATGAAAACCAAATACCAGTATTTTGCGTTATCTAAAGTGAAGAATGCCTCTTGTAAACATGTATCACATCTATAAAATCTATCTTTGAGCATCACTTGATACGTATCCTCTCCTATTTCTCTTATGTTTTTAAACTTATTTGACATACATGCAACGCGTGACTTCTGTGCATTCATTATTTTAGTCTTTGTGTAATTTTGTGTATTCATTGCATCGTAACCATATGATCCATTAAGTGAAATCTTGCAAAATAAACTTTTTCCTTTATTTCCTTCTAATTCAGCCTTTTGTCTTTCGTTCATAAATTCTTTCGCAAATTCATTAAAACAAGTGTTTTTAGTAAATGTTAAAATTGATTGAATGTCATCAATGATAAAATGAAATCTGTCGATTAGATACCAAAGATAATAAGAAGAAAATGGTTGATATTGGTTGTGTGTTGATGCTAACTGAGTTAATTTTCTCTGTTTCTGGTCAACTGGTAGATTGTTTGATTTCATGTAATTATACATAAAACTGCCAATTGTTTTTTCATCTGTGATAATATCTAAGTTTCTTATTATCGGTAAAAAGTTTATGTAATCATTAATGTATTTTTCATCAATGTGACCCTTTACTTCAGCCACGAATAAAGTATTTTTTTTTCTAATAATTCCCAGTGCTTTTGCTTTCTTTGTTGCTGTATCACAAATGATAACACCATTCAATCTTCCCGGCATATACATTTTATGGTCAGTATATTGAATGAAATCATGAGGATTAGATGAAAATGATGAAGGATATAATGAATTAAAGTCAACTCCAACGAAATGAGTCATAATGTTGGTGGTGTCCTCATTTGATACAGTTTTAGTTTCTGGATTATATGAAAGTTTATTAATGTGCGTGATTCCTTTAAGATTAACACGATGTTGAACATTTGATAAACCACCAGTAATTCCATTACGGAGAATGTGATAAGCTTCAACTGAATCTAAAGTCATTGGTAAATTATTTTTTAATGCATAATTTCTTAAATTGATTCTTAAACGTTGAACATCTTCATCTTTATTTGATTTTACGACATTGCAATAACAACACATTAACTGACAATTTTCTTTGGTATGTGGTTTTTCATTATCGATTCTATCCAATGTTGGTTTATTTGCATATGTAAACGCTTTACCACACATTTTGCATTTAGATGAAAGGATTAAATCGTGATAGTATTGAAATCATCCATTGAAACATTATTTTTAGTATCCCTTTCTGCTTTTTCATCTTGTTTCTTATATGATTCAATTTTATATTTCCAATACTTTTTCGTTAATTCAAAACTTGATTCCACATTTTCTTCTTCTGGATATGTTTCGTTAGGATTGAAGTTCTTATATGCTAACGCGTAACGAATCATTGATGCATTCGATGATAAAGAAAGATTATGAAGCATGTCAATTTTATAAACAAATGTTTCTTCAATAATTTTATCAATTGGGTCAATCATAATTTCAACATCTTTATTGCAATAATGAATAAAATATTCTAATCTATTCTTAAAAATTTTAGCATCATTGAGATATATTTGATAATCACTATCTGATATAGTTTCTTGAGTTAATGCTGAATAAAATGAATCTTGAGTGAATGGTTCCTTTATATAATTCTTCTTCGTAATTTTCCCACGTGATGAATTGATAAGGGAAAAAGGATTTAACACGTGATTTATTGTTTCCGAAATCTTGAGTGAATTGGTCTAATGTCCCACCCGCTATATAATTTCTGATGTCAATAAATCTTAATTCATATGGAAGTTTGTTTTCTTTACAATGATTTGCTTAAATTGTGAAGATGAACCCAGCATTGATTTTATCTTCCATTTTGCAGTATTTAAATCACGAAGAATTAAATTTAAATCAAACTTTCCCGAATTAAAACCAATGATATTCACTTTATTAAATTCTTCATCTAAAAGCTCTTTCATTGCTTCCTTTTGTTTCTCATTTAATGTATTCATTAATTCTTCATATTGTTCAGTATTTGATTTAGCAACTAATGAACAGGTTGAAAATAAAAATTCAATCCAATCAGAGATGAACGAATCACTTGATGTTAAGCAAAAATTCCTCGTAAATGTTTTATCACGGTCTACGTCCTCGCCGCTTTGCGGCTTTATTTTGACAGTTGATGATACCATAAATGGTTTTAAGTAAGCGTTCAAAGTTGCACATTCAGAAAGTTGAAGTTCTTCTTTAGTCTCTAATGTTTCGAAGTCAAAAGTAATATAATATCTTGTTGGTTTATAATATTCCTGCAAATTATGTGCTAATAGCCATTGATATATCTTCTGTTTCGTGATATGTGGTGCATATGGTTGTTGTGTGTTTTGCAATTGAACGTCTTGAATTAATCTTCCATTATTTTCTTTACATTTCTCACAATGTTTTAAAAATCTTCTTTGGTTTTTCCTTTCTGGATCATCACGGATAGAATATACTTCTTCTTTGCAAAAGGGGCAAACTTTATATCCTGTGAGTGCTTCAACGTCTGTAATTCTGTCAGCGTGAAGTTTTCCACATGGACTCTGTGTTAATAAAATATTTACTGTTTCAAATTCTGGATCTATCATTATTGATTCCACTAATGGAAAGTCTACCTTGTTAATGTCTACGTCTTCTGGTTGAGGGTCACAATAATAAAAATCAATATTAACGTTTAACATTCTTGCTAACCTCTCACTTTCTGATGAAATGTCAAACCTTCATATGCATCTATGGCTTCATTTAAATAACTTCTACGAGTTTTAGGATTAACACCATCAGGAATGTTATAGAAGCGTTTAAATAACCTTCTACCTTCGGCTCTTATTTGATTATCATTCATTTTAGCTGTTCCATTTTTGTTCATTTATGTAAGAATAAAAATTAAAAAATAAATAAAAATAAAGTTTATTTTTTTTAAAGTCCGAGACTCAGAGAGTCCAGGGCTAAAGTCCATAAAATGAATTAAGAACACATAAATTTTTATCATCTGCGACGTGACGAATACATTTTAATTTACTCAAGAATGCGTACCCTGATACATTAAATCTAATTCCTGTCTTATTTAATTTCACAACTTTGAAAAGGAATGTATGAATAGCTATAAAATGATGAGATGATGTTTTATGGGTTGCTTCCATTTTTTCTGAAATAAATGAATAAATATAATGTTTATAAGTTTTCATATCTTTTATGTTCTTAATAACGAATGGTATAGACCTTTCAACTTCGTCTTCCTTCGGTGCTGTTCTTTCATATGAAACATTATTGGTATCTTCAATAATGAAACCACAATCGCATAAAATTTTATATGTACCAATTGTTTCTTTTGATATTTTATCTAACAAATCAAAAACTTTATCAACACCTGTACATTTATTTAAATAATAATTTGTGTAAATATCATGGTCTTCTTTCTTAATCGTATTTGTTGCATATGTTACATTTTTCAGTGCTTTTTTGAATTTTTCAGAATCAAGAGGAGGTGAAAGTAATATACATGGATAATCTCCATCGTCAATAAACTGAAGCTTATGTTTATGAATAAATTTTGTGCCTTCTTCTGAAAGTGTTTCGTCAATATCACCATCTAATAAATTTTTAGTAGATTCCAAAAAGTAATTTTTATATCTTTCCTCATGTGATTTTTGAACTTCTGATTCTGAAGCTGGGATATTCATTAAACCCTCTACTTCATTCTCAGCATTTCTCAATTCACTAATTCTTTCATCTATTTCATTTCTTAATTGTTCCAATTTCTCAATCTCATCGTTATAATATTCATCTTGTTTAATTTTTTCTTCAAAATATTCAGGAGGTGTTTCAAGGCTCTCTGAGCCCAGGTCCTCTGGACCATAAAGAGGAATATTCTCCTGTTTTTCAACTTTTTTGGGATATAAATATCTCATTATAGCCTTTTTAGTAATTGGTCCGTTATATTTAAATTCATTCAACAATCTGGAAAACTCTTTCACATTCTGCATATATGTTGGATAAGAACCGTCTCCAAAATTTTCTAAAATATTTTCTAATTCTGAATTAGTGAACTTTAAAGATTTCAATGAATTAGTTGTTATACTCATTTATTATAAAATAAAAAAAAAAAAAAAAAAAAAAAAAAAAAAAAGGAAGTGGGGCTTCCAGGCACTTCGTGCCTTCTAGCCCTGAAGATGATTATTATAAATGAAGTTTATATTTGGAGGGCTTCCAGGCGCGTTGCGCCCTCTAGCCCATAAGAAATTTTTCCCAAGACCCAAGAGGAGGACCGAACCCCAGCCGACCAGCCGGTGACACTTTTTGTGTCGCTTTTCACAAATTATATATGTTTTCATGTTTTGTTACTTTTCTGTCACTTTTCAGGGAAAAACATTTTTATTATTATATATAAATGAATTTTACAAAACCACCGTTACCGTTCTTTGGAAATAAGAGTAGATGTAAAGATATTATATTGAGAGAACTTAAGAAACTACCGAATGTCTAACATTGTAGATTTGTTCGGTGGAAGTTTCTATATATCCCATTTGTGCCATATAATATTCCCAGACTCAAAGATTATATGCAATGACTTCGACAACTATATGGACCGTCTCAAACATATTCCAGACACTAACAAAATATTGAAAGAGTTAAAAGAAAAGATACCTATAGGTAAGATGGAACGTATACCATTAGATAACAAAAATATTGTGAGAGAGGTTTTGAAAAAAGCAGAATATATAGACTGGAATAGTATATCTGCTAGACTATTATATAGTGGTGCTATAAGAGTTCATGACATTGAAACACTTATGTCAAAAGTTTTATATCTTAACTATACAAATGTTTTCAAAGAGGACATAGAAAAATATATTGAGGGTATAGAGTTTGTGAGATGTCATTGGACAGAGTTGTATGAAAAATATATAAAGACAAGGAAAATGTTTTTTTTTATAGTGGCCCCGCCGTTCTATAACACATGGGATTTTCAATACCAAGTAGACTGGACTTTGAGAGACTCTTTAGAAACTTAGACGTTTTACATAACCATCCATGCTTTTACTTTACATCCGATAAAAGTGGTTTGGAAACCGTTATGAGATGGTTAGAGGACATACATGACTATGAGTTTATATATGACAAGATAGAATATGAGAGAGGTCCTATAAACTGGAGAAAGT